CCAAGTCCTGGGTGAAGCCGGGTAGTACAGCTAGTAATCCATATTTGGCTTAGACCTCACAATGATCTTACCAAATATGTTGTAGTTAAAACCTTTCACTATTCGACAAGGCCGAACAAATTATTCATCACATGCACACGCGATAACGTACACATTTCTATTGTCTCAGCTGACCAGTTAGTTTTAGAAATTGTTTGTTCATTCGTTTCTCAGTTCTCTCGTCCTGATGAAGGTCGTGGTGGCATGATGTTGAGTAGGGCGGTCCAGACCTCCCTTTCCCTGGCGACAGACTTTAGCTCTTCCTGAGGAATTCCCAGGCGTTCCCAGGCCAGCAGAGCGACATAGTTCAACCAGAGTGTCCTGGGCCTGCCCCGGGGTCTCCACCCAGTGGGACGTGCCCGGTGGAGTTCCAGGGGGGTGGGGGGGGGGTCTACCGGGTGGCATCCTTACCAGGTGCCCGAACCACCTCAACTGACTTCTCTCGATCCGGAGGAGCAGCGGCTCGACTCTGAGGCTCTCCCTGATTACCGAGCTCCTCACCCGAACACGGAGAGTGAGCCTGGCAACTCTGCGGAGAAACCTCATTTCGGCCCCTTGTACCTGTAATCTCATCCTTTCGGGTCATTATCCAAAGCTCATGACCATAGGTGAGGATGGGAATGTAGATCGACTGGTCAACTGAGAGCTTTGTTCGAGAACTCAGCTCCCGCTTCACTACCATGGAACGGTACAGCGCCCGCAACACTGCGGACGCTGCACTGATCCGCAGGCCGATCTCCCGCTCCCACTTACCATCACTCGCCAAAGAGACTCCGAGGTACTTAAACTCCTCCACTAAGGGCAGCTGTTCCCCCCTCACCTGGAGAAAACAATCCACCGTATCCTAGGAATGAACCATGACCCCATATTTCGAGGGGCTGAGCCTCATCCCAGCCGCTTCACACTTGGCATCAAACCGTTCAAATGCACTCTGGAGATCACAGACTGACGAGGCAAAGAGGACAACGTCATCAGCAAAAAGCAGCGAAACCACCTCCATGCCCCTGTGCTGGATATTCTCCATGCCTTGGCTGCGCCTTCATATCCTGTCCATGAAAATCACAAACAGGAGTGGAGACAAGACGCACCCTTGGCGGAGCCACAGTGAACGACGTTGAATCAACACCAAGAATACGTCAACAGCTCTTACCCTGGGAATAAAGGGACTGGATAGCACACAAAAATGGCACCGGTACATCATACTCTCACAAGACATTGCGGGGAACATGGTAATATGCTTTCTCCAAGCATACTCTCATGATCCCTCAAATATCTGTGAGAAGGAAAAGAGCTGGTCCATTGTTCCACGACCATGACGGAATCCAAATTGTTCCTCATGAATATGAGGCTTGACAACCGAATGGTGCCTCCTCTCTGGCATAGGTTTTACTTGGGGCGCTGAGTAGTGTGATGCCTCTGTAGTTGGAGCACACCCTCTGGTCCCCTTTCTTAAAAATTGGAACCCCAACCCCAGTTTGCCAATCCAGAGGTACTCTACCCACCCTTCCATGCAACATTGAAGAGACGTGTTAACCACGACACTCCTACATTGTCCAGCGCTTTCAACAACTCTGAGCGAATTTCGTCCACCCCAGCAGCTTTGCCGCTACGAAAGCCCTCGAAAGCCACAGCAACTGAAGCAGTCGTGATGGATCCGACCCCCCCAACTGTTTCCAGGGCTGCTCAGAAAGCCTCCTTCTTCAACTTGACTGCTTCCCTCACCACTGGTGTCCACCAGCAGGTGCTAGGGTTGCAACCATGACAGGCACCAACTGCCTTCAGGCCGTAGTTTTTCGCAGCTGAATCCATAATCGAGGTCCTGAACAAAGTCCACTCGGACTCAATGTCCACCACCTCCCCTGGAGTTGAATTTTTTCTGCACTGGGTCTTCCCTCAGACATTTCCACGAAACCCGCACTATTCGTTTGGGCCTTCCACGTCTATCTGGTCGGTGCCCCAAGCGTCGGATCCAACTTACCACCAGGTGGTGATCAGTTGCCCGCTCCGTCCCTCTCTTCACCCGAGCGTCCAGAACATACGGCCTTAGGTTCAATGATACAACTATAAAGTCAATCATTGACCTTCGGCCCAAGGTGCTCTGGTATCAAATACACTTATGAGCATCCTTGTGTTCAAACATGGTGTTTGTTATTGACATTCCGTGACTAGCGCAAGATTCCAATAACATCTCACCGTTCAGGTTCAGATCAGGAGGGCCATTCATCCCAATCATGCCTCTCCAGGTATCTCCATCATTTCCCACGTGAGCATTGAATTCACTCAGTAAGACAATGGAGTCGGTAGGCGGCACTCTGTCGAGCACTGCACCCACCGTCTTCAAGAAGGCCAAATACTCTGAACTGCTGTTTGGTGCATAAGTGCACACAACAGTCAAGAGTTTTCCTTCCTGAGACCCGAAGTCTCATTGAGGCGATCCTCTCATCTACTGGGACAAACTCCAACTGAACAGCAGCCAGACGGGGGCTTGTGACTATCCCCACACCCGCCCGGGGCCTCTCACTAGGGGTGACTCTGGAATATGAGAGAAACCACCTTCAATCAAGAAGTTTGGTGGCAGTGTCAATGCTGTGTGTGGAGGTGAGACCTAGTCATTATCTTTCCACCTCCTCCACCAGCTCTGGCTCCTTCCTTCCCAATGACGTGACGTTCCACGTTCGTATAGCGAGTGTCCATTGCCAAGGTCCAGTCCGTCTGAGATCATCCCTTTCCCTGCTATAATGGCATCGCACCTACCCCTCACCCTTGGTCCTGTGGATGGTGGGCCCACAGCACTGCAGCACGTAGCCATTTCGGGCTGGGCCTGACCGGGTTACGTGGATCACCAGGCCACCAGGTGCTTGCCGGCGAACACTACCCCTCGGCCTGTCCTGGTATACCTTGTCCAGGCGAAGTTCTCTGATTTTTATAATTTTGAACCATTTACAAGGGGATTTTGTTTGGACCGTTATTTGTCTGGATCCTCCCCCCAGATATGTTCGCCAAGAGAGACCTGACCAGGAGTACAAGACTCCAGGTGACATAGCTCTGAAGGGCAATTACAACACACAAACCCCACCACCACAATAAGGTTTCGATTCTTCAGTGGGGTTTTTGCAATTGCCAGTTGCCAATTGCTAAATATGGCTGTGAGAATTGTTCTTCAGCTTACCGGTGAAAATAAATTTCCTTAGAAATATGGTCAGATTATTACATGGCCTAACCCAAAATAAATATTAATTATAATAAAAAACATATTTCATTTAATCAGGAAAATGCCTGGGATGTATGTATGTTGAACTTCTTTCACACCATACATAGCCAACCATGCTAATCAGAGGTGTGGGGGAAGGACAACAAACTAAAGACAAAAGGCAGTTCTAAAGAAATAATATTCTACGTATGTTGAACATCTTTCGCACCGTACGTTTCATCAATTTGTACATTTGTTTTGTGTGTGGAAAAAACTAGCACCCAGGGTAAAAGTTAAAGAAAACACGTGATGGGTTGCCAATGACAGGTGGGTAGAAGATTTGCTTGCTGTACTGCCTTCTGCATGTCACCAGCGTTTGATGAAAGCGCATTGTCTGGTTTAACAGAAAAGCCGATGGAGCAGGCCACACAATCCCAGCCGATTCTCGATGACTACCTGTGCCCAGTGACACTAGAGGACATTTGTCCAATTTCCCTCACTAATTTATCAGTGTCAGCCAGGTCTCCAAGGTGGCTTTTAATGTGGCTGAGGTTGGGGATTGTGGGACTATCAGGTCTGTGCAAAATTAAGGGAGTTTTAATAAATGGTATGATTTTAAATATTTAGTACAATGTAGATTGTACTAAATCAAGAAAATAAATGTATTAGTAATCACAAACACTGCAGTTAACAATGTCTGCATTTCGAGACTCTAATGAGAACTGGTATGAGCTGTGTATTAACCAGGTGCGTTCGATATTTAAGACCTTAAATGAGGCTGGTTGAGAAGGGCTTTGCATTATCCAGATAATTCAATATTTAACATTTTTAATGGCACGAGTTTGGAATAGCTTTGCAATAACCAGCCACATTATATATTTAAAACCTTTAATGAGACCGGTTTGGAAGAGCTCTCCATTAATAAGGCTTTGCCAATACTCAGGGTCTTTGCAAATTTGTTACGTCTTGAAATGTGAGACAAGGGACTGCACAGCACTCAGAGGGCACATTGCGTACATCCAAACAAGGGGTAGATAATGTGCACACAACCAGAATTAAAGTGAATTCCTGAGCAATTTCACCTTAACCTTCAATTTCAAAGAGGCGAGGGAGAGCTTTGTGTCTGGCTTGTTCCACAGTTTAAGACTAACCCAAATCGCCACGTCTAAGAGATGTACATACATACGTTTGCGTTAAACAATTTTCTAAGGAAATGTGGTTAAACTAACATATATTGGTGAATACCTAAAAACTTTGATACCTAAAAACTTTGTCTTCTCACAATGCAGTATTCATTTTATGATGAGTTACAGTGTTATGAGTACCACTCACGATACACACTGCTGTTTAATGAAAGCTCATTTTAAAGGTGATGTTTTATCGAGCTGCTACCACTATGCTATGCTTATTTTTCATATCACTAAAGAGCTCACTTATTAAATCTTCTAGTGTACCCAAGACATGAAGTTGTGCTTGAAATTGATAGTTTACGCAGTAATCCCTTTCAAAGCATGAGAAAGACTGGGTAGAAACACTGACTGGTGTGGGCAGGTCCTAAATCTGCCCCGTGCAATGGGGGCTATATAGTAAATTCCACCGGTTTCCATCAAATCTCTGCCAAAACAACTACATTGATTCCCGCGAAATTTGTACTTGTGTGTGCCAGTGATCTCATCCACACAATGTTGGCTCCATAGAGAGGCACAGAGCAACCCTCGCTGTTGCAAAAGCTAGAGATTCACCCTGGATGCCACTGGGTTAACAGGCTCACCGATGTTTCCTCCGTTTCCAGGCGGTGTGGCTCTCAGAGCCCTGGAGAACTCTTCCCACGATCCTGCAGCACAGCGGTCCCGCACGCGCTCCCGTGTCAGCGACGCATTCTTGAAGCTGTATGAGACACCACCATCCAATGTCAGTCAAATTAATGCCTAAAATTGTGCAAGGTGTAGCATTGGTTTAAACGAAAATCTAGGCCGAGGCCAGTTGCGTTGTAATGTATGTGTAGTGCCATAAGAGGGGAGGAGCTGCTGGGGGCTCTGGGACCCTAGACAGATAAGCCCTCGGCGCCAGGCGCTAGGATCCCAGGCACCCCAGACAGTTAAGTCCCTTGGCGCCACCAACGGGGGGGGGCTGTGTGTGCTCTGTGGGATATCTGGGGGCGCACATAACCCCACCCCTCGTTGGGGACGAGGCATAAAAGGGCAGCTCCCTGGCCGATCGGGGCCAGTCGCAGCTCAAGACCCAAGACCCGCCAGCCAGTCAGCTTAGGACCCTGGACCCCCTCGTCCCGCTTGTCCTTGTAAGGGCCAGGACACTGTGCGGGCCAGTGGTGGGACTCTGGGACTCCCGGCTCTACGTCCTTGTAAGGGCGAGTTACGAGGAAGCCAGAGTCCAGACCCGCACCTTGGCTGGGTCGGGTCAGGTAGCCTCCCCTAGGGTAATCGTAGCCGGAGGACCCCAGAGCGTAGCCAGAGTAGTGTATCTAGGCTGTGTACCTAGGCTGTAACAGAGTATCAGGACTGTTGGAGTGTTGTATTGTAATAAAGAAGTTACCTCTATAAGTGTCTACGGAACCCATTACATATGTAAGCATGTTGAACTTCTTTAGCATTGTACGTAGCCAACTGTGCTAATCAGAGGTGCAGGGTGAAGGACAACAAACTAAACACAAAAAGCAGATCTCAAGACATGAGTTTTTAATCGAGATTTAAAAGTGCATAGCTCCAGTGGATTCCTAATATCAGAAGGAAAAGTGTTCCAGACGGCAGCAGAAAGCGCATTTGAAAGCGTGCGATGCAGTGACCGTCTTTGTTTGATGGCTAGCTAAACGCCACTGTGAGGATGACCGGAGGTTGCATGATGGCTTATACCCCTTTACAAAATCAGAAAGGTATTGTGGTCAATTTGTGGCAAGCACTTTGTGCTATGATTACAACCTTATAATGTATTCGTTCAGCAACTGGAAGCCAATGCAGCTTGGTGAGCACGGGCCGGACGAAGATGTAATATCGTGAAAAATGTGTTATTGGTATATCCAGCCAGGTTGAAATGTAGCAAGTGCACTCAATTCACAACTAGAAGGTTGTGAGTTGATTTCCCAGTCAATAATCAAACTCATGATTCTTCTAGGGTAGGTAAAATACTAATCACTGGATGAAAGTGCATGCATTAACTCATAGGAACAGTAGTTGTACTCGGAATAAACTGGTCCCTGACATTGGAATGTATCATTGCTACAATAGGATCAGGGGTGCTACACTATTGCATTTGAGATGTGGCCACATCATTTCGATGCTTTGTACATGTAAACATGTGTTGCAATATATGTGTAGAGGAGTATTGTGAGTAACCAATGAGGGGGTGAGCGGATTGAGGTGCGAGCTGGTTGAGAGTTATACGGGGCCAAGGATGACGTAACGTCACGGGTTACCTAAGGGGCTTTCGGAAAGCACTTTCGGGAAAGTGGGCGGGGCCGAGCTTGGGGGAGGAGCCGCCCAAACGGTTCTTAAGGGGGACCCCGTGACAAAGGCGTGGTCGTCGTTGGGGGCCAGGCTAAGGACCGGCTGGAGTAGGGGTCTTTCTCCTCCTCGCGGGGCGGTGTTGGCTGATCCCCCACCCCGGGCAGACGAGTGAGAGAGCCAAGGGAATAGCCGGGGTAGAGTCCAATTCGTTATTCTGTGTCCGTGTGAAGGACGGAGAAAGAGAGTGCACCTACACTGTTGTGAGTGTAGGATGTCGAGTGAGAGTGTGCGTTAATAAACGTCAACAACCCTTCTAGTATTCCTCGTCTCCACGTAGTTGTACAACAATACATATGTATGAGACCGTAAGATTGTTAAAAATGTATTATATATATTAGATAGTTCACTAATTTTCCCATCTTCGACAACATTTTACATTTCCTGGACAAGAATAAATCAAGCAAGTGAGCAGTTACACATACAATCATTTGTACCAAATAAGTATTTTTTTCATTGTTATTTTATATATTACCTCTGGGTATTTTTAGTTGTCATTCAGCAAGCTTACATTTATATTCATGGCTTTTTCATTGCGGAAAATTTTACTCCTTGAAGCTACTTTTAAATATATATTTGTATGGATGCATTTAATCTCAAGTCAACACCTCGATGCAGGGCTGTCAACAATGTGCGCTCACTACTGTACACGGCTTAAACAGCGGTGATTAGAATGCAGCATTGTGTGTACAATAGGTAGACATAATTTAAATGTAACTCATTGTAAGAATTTAAAATCATTACCCTTGCATTCTGTCGATGTAAGGCGTGAGTTGTTCAAGGCAAATGGTAATTAGGAAACACTAAAAAAAACACACGGAAAAAATCCCCCAAAATGATGACTTTCTCCCTTCCTTTATCATTATTGGGCCTGTAATTGGAAGTATTATTAGCAAGGACCTACTAAGGCCAACACAGGTCATGACGAGTTGAATTGTGAGAAGTCAAGCACGATGTTAAACAACGTGGGAGACGAAATAAAACCTTGACGAATGCCTGCCCTAACATCAAACCATGCTGATGTCTCCACCTTCTAATCGTACATATGCCTGAGTCCCGCCTTACAGGATTTGAAGCAGCGGACTTTTTTTTTGCCTGGGATGGTCCACTGGCTGTGAGGGTGATGCTCAATCGACGACATGTTTTGTACTAAATAAACCCTGGCAAGGGTTCCGGAATAATTGAATATATCTTTATTCACAGAACCCCCCCCCCCCCGGTACATTTAAATCCATGCATGTAAAACTGCAACTGAAAAAAGTTTATATTTTTTTTCACCAGGTAAAGCCCACTGAGCTATACAAAACAGCCCCTTTTCAGAAGCGATTTGGACACAAATGATAGATAAACGAAGTGGCTTATCACGTGGAAATTTATAGCAGCCAAATACTCTAAATGCATGTTGATTCTAAATGTGGAGGGAAAAACCGGAGGACCCGGAGCAAATTCCACACGACCACAGGGAGAACATGCAAACTCCAAATATACAGGTGTCTGGGTCGGGATTGAACCCACGACCTCCTGTATACCAGGCGAGGGAGTTAACATCTCGCCACTATCACCACCCTAATCTCTACATCGGAATACGGTTGGCATGTGATATAAGACACACTGTTAAAAAGTTTCACTATTGGGTGCTCTTTTCTACAGTGGACCCCCAACTGGGATTTAAATGCAGAACCTTAAAACTGAGTTTAGGAGCTCAGTCGCAGAACCATTCCAGAATGTTAACATGGGGAAACATCACGGCTGACATACGGCTCACTGAAGTGGATATATATATAAAAAAACATTACCTCTCTAAAGAAGGCAAGAAGAGTGGCATGTATTGACAACATCACAAGACTTTGGTGATCATAGTTGTCAAGCTAAACTGTATTTAAATTGCCCTATCAATACTCGGAGGATAGGGAGAGTGTGATTATATGGCAAGGATTTGCAAAGGCAACGCATGTGAAACTAAAACTGTGCATTTGGAATGCTGGGGCGTTGTTAACCCTGAATTCCAGGAATCATGGAAACGCTCAATACTGTCCTGAAAAGCGAGAGCGTCTCAGCAGGCTGGGGGGATGCACATGGTTCGCAAATGCATCCTTAACGGCGTAATCATTAATCGACTTAATCAACTAATTATCCCAGCTCTAACGTATTTTATTTGATATTCTTTTAAAATCCATTTGTTAGCCATAGTAACCTTTGGTCAGTTTAACACGTAGGCTTTCGCGACCAATGTTATTCATAATCAACGTTTTTGGGTTTAGATCGCGTTTATTTATAAATGTGTCGTAACCCTCCACCACCCGACACGGCCAATCAGTAAAAATGTGTCACGTTGACAAAGACAAATAGTTCACTGCTTTAGCCCACCGGTGTGTAAATGTTGTGGCTTCAACACACCGGTGGGCTAAAGCAGTGAACTATTTGTCTTTGTCAACGTGACACATTTTTACTGATTGGCCGTGTCGGGTGGTGGAGGGTTACGACACATTTATAAATAAACGCGATCTAAACCCAAAAACGTTGATTATGAATAATCTTTGGTCATCCACATATTGTTAAAATGGTCCTGCAACTACATTATTCACTTAATGTGAATCATCATAAGCAGGCTATGCTAAATCATATCGTTAGTTTCGGAATATAAATCAAACACTGACAAATATTTGGGAAACAAAAATGCTTTCATATCTGGGGTATCATTGCATCACATGCTGTTAGAAGTGGAGTCGCCCGAATGCGCTTTGTAATTTGGAAATGCAAGGTAAATGAACGTAGACGCACATGCTGCAGCGTTGAAGTAAAATAACGTTGATGTGTCTCCCAGCACTAACATGCATTCAGACGCATCGCTGTTGGCAGCCCTGAGCCGGTGATAGAATTCCACGGTTTCTTGGCAAAGACCAAACTCCGCAAAGAACAATCAGTCTTGATGGTCTTGAAAGTGAAACTCATTTGATTGATCCTGTAGGAAGAGTGGGCCGAGTTGACCAATCATTAGGTTTGTGAAATGAGAGTTCTGAAGTGTTAAAGCATCACAATTGGCTGCTTATAATTAATTATGAGACCACATCATCACAGAGCTAAACGTATACTTGTATTTTTTATGTGGCAGGACAGAGATGTGAAACAGGCACATTGCTTATTAGTTTTTTTATATTTTCCACAACAATGCTCATTGTTATATTGTTATTATGCTTCTTATAAGGATATATCACAGAATGCTCAATGCACAATGGAAATCGTGGGAGTTCAAATGGCATTGAGAGAATCTTCCATCATCCCGCTGCAATAGATAAAATGAGTACCAATGTGCGGGAAGTCACCGATTGTATTCCGATGGAGGGATTAGTCCAAGAGATGTTCAATTTC